AACTGCACATTTCAGAGTGGCCTTTTATTGTGGCCAGCCTAAGGCACACCTGTGCAATATTCATGCTGTCTAATCAGCATCTTGATATGCCACACCTGTGAGGTGGGATGGATTATCTCGGCAAAGGAGAAGTGCTCACTAACACAGATTTAGACAGATTTGTGAACAATATTTGTGAGAAATGGTCTTTTGTGTGTTTAGAAAATGTTTTAGATCTTTGAGTTCAGCTCATTAAAAATGGGAGCAAAAACAAAAGTGTTGCGTTTATATTTTTGTTCAGTGTATATTATGCAAAGCTTACTATAGTAGTGCAAGAGGTCAACTGATGATTTATTAGGGGTCCAAGGGTCCTGGGAAACCTATTGTTTTTGTTCAGGTTTTTATTACTATTATACATCTTACTATTTTTCCGTAAGTAAAAGTGGTGCTGCAGGATACACCGTGCAATGTGGAGGGTTGGTCCAGACGCCTACACGGACCTCAGACGCAAAAAATTACACGTGCACCTACAGGGGGCGCTACAATCAAGTCCAACACGTTTTGGCATGTAACTACCCCACACTGAAAGAAGCTGCATCACATGGCCATGGTCCTGCCCACTTCCGCCTAACTTTTTTCCCGCCAAAAATTGCAAAAACTGCAAAACCTTCTTTTTCGAACTCCTCCTAAAGATTTTTTCTGAACTGCATGAAACTTGGCACCTAGACTCACAAGATGGACCTGATCCAAAGTTATCAAAAGAATTTTGCCCGGTCAAAAAATTTGCAAATTATTGACGAACAATTTTTGTAGCTAGCTATCAAAACACAAACTGTTCCGTATCTTTGTCAAATTAAAACCTCAAACCCAAGGCTTAGATAATTAGTTATTATGTGACTGTGAGGGTGTGAACAGAATTTGGTAAACACTGGCCACTAAGGGGCGCTATAAACATGGGAAGTTTATATCACCTAAACGGCTACCCTGATTTTTATGAAATTTGGTGGGTATGATGTAGGGCCATTCCTGAGGCCATGTATTGAAGGTGGTCATGACTGGTCGAAGTGGGCGTGGCTAATTACAAGACAAACAACAAACATTTATTTCAGCTGAACTATTGTACTGAGGGCTGTGAAATTTATAGAGTACATGTAGACTAGGACACAGCCTGCCATACCAAAAATTATGCAGATACTCCACTAGGTGGCGCTATAACAGACACAAAAATGTTTTTTCCTGTAACTTCCACATTTTACATCACATATTCATAAACTTTATATCCACGTATTCCCTAAATAGAGCTGGACTTTCTGACATAGGCCCCGCCCACTTCCGCTGTACATTATCTTCGCTAAGTTGCTACACATCCAAAACCAACTTTTTCAAGCTCCTCCTACAGATTTTGTCCAAACGGCCTGAAACTTGGCACGTAGACTCTCGAGATAGACCTGATCTAAAGTTATCAAAAGAATTTTGCCCGGTCAAAAAAATGTGTGAATTATTAACAACAAAAAAAATTTTGGTAGCTAAAATACACATATTGTTGCAAATTTTTGTCAGACTAAATTACATCAAAATGACACTTAGCACGCTTGTTTCAGAGGTCGTTCTGAGGCTCGGTGCCAAAATTGGCGCAAATTGGCCACTAGTGGACGCTGTAAACCCTGAAATATCACATTTCGTAAAAGTTGATCGGATTTGTACAAAACTTGGTGAGCATAATGTGGGTTCAGTCCTGTGGCAAGCCGCAAAGTTTGGTAATGATTGGTCAAAGTGGGCGTGACTCATTGCAATAAATGCATTCAGCCTTTGGTACTTTAATTGCACTTCCCATTACAGTGAATACTGCAGCTCAGACGTTGGCCTGTGTCCTGAAGCTCGCCCCGAGCCCGTCGTCCTTTGGGGCTGACTTTCGTGGGCTCCATGGGGCATGGAGGCCGAGTTGCATGGGGAGGCTTGGACCCCGTTAATAACTGCTTGCCGTTCTATTTTTTTTTAAATTATTATTTCGTACTGTTTGACATTGCGTATAAGGGACCCCACGGTTTGACTGGCTGTGAATGTGAAGCTTACGTTCTACGCCAAAATTCTTAATTATTATTATTATGCCATGTAGGCTTGTGCAGATTTCTGGTTTAACCGGTTCGGTCCGGTTTAAGAGCTCCACCCGGTTTAATTTACGTCAACCAGATAAACCGGGGAAAAAAAGGAAAAAAAAAAAAAAAAAAAAAAAAAAGCTTTTCACATCAGCGGCGTGTCAAGGGACTATATTCAACTTATCTTGCATTGTAACATTCATTATGACAGCTTAATAAGGTTTATATTTGTTTATAAATGAAGTGGAGGTGCCTACAAGTGTTTTGTTTAGTTTGTCTCAGAAGCTGCAGAGGGACCAAGTCCACATATGGGTGTGGGGGTGTTTCTGATTCTCAAATGCAGAGATGACAGCAGCTCCATTTTAAAGTCCATGTAAACATTATACAGTCAGGTCCATAATTATTTGGACAATGATACAGTTGTCGTCATTTTGGCTCTGTACACCACCACAATGGGTTTTAAATGAAACAATGAATACGTGCTTAAAGTGCAGACTCTCAGCTTTCATTTAAGGCTTTTTTCAAAAATGTAGTATGAACCGTGTAGGAATGACAACCATTTCTTCACACAGTCCCCCAACTTTAAGGGCTCATAAGTATTTGGACAAACTAACATAACCATCAATTAAACAGTCAGTTTTAATACTTGGTTGCAAATCCTTTACAGTCAATGACTGCCTGAAGTGTTGGACACATAGGCATCATCAGATGCTGGGCTTCTTCCCTGGTGATGCTCTGCCAGCCCTTTACTGCAGCCGTCTGCACTTCCTGCTTGTGTTTTGGGTGTTTTGCCCTCAGTTTTGGCTTCAGCAAGAGAAACGCATGCTCAGTTGGATTCAGGTCAGATGATATGACTTGGCCATTGCAGAACATTCCACTTCTTTGCCTTAAAAATGTCTTTGGTTGCTTTTGCAGTATGCTTCAGGTCAATGTCCATCTGCACTGTGAAGCATCGTCCAATGAGTTTTGAAGCATTTGGTTGAATCTGAGCAGATAATGGTGCCCCAAACACTTCAGCTTTCATCCTAGTCTGCTGTCCTAGCTGCCGGCTGCCAATTCTAAACTCCCCCTTGCTAAGGGCTTCATTTCCTTTTAAAAGAGGTTTCACATCCTGTTGGCATCTATCGAGTAGCCTGGCCAGCAGGGGGCAACATTGCATAAATGAAACTCAGTAAAAATACTAAATTGACTCTAACACAGTATCAGTAAGAAGTTATTATTATATGGGCAGCCAAGAAGTTGTAAAGGCAGGTTTCACAGAGGGAACAGATGCTGTTTTTTGTAAAATACAGAAATTAAGTCACAACGAGGAAAAACATGTGTTTCTGGCTTCAACACTTGCACTCTTAATCATGTTGATTGAAATCATCATCTTGTTTCCCTGCTTTCAGGTGGAAGGGTGAAAATGTAGCAACAACAGAGATAACAGAGACTCTTGGTCAAGTGGATTTTATCCAAGAGGTTAATGTGTATGGAGTGGAAGTACAAGGTATGTTTAAGAAGTGTTTGTTTGCATCTCTACCTCTGCTATCAGAATACTACTCATCTCAATTAGCAACAAAATTACAAAGCCTGTGAAAACTTGCAGTATAGATGTTTTCAGTGTAGTCTTCCCCTAATGATGTACCACGTGTAATAGCTTAATTATAGCAATTATTTACAGCTAAGAGAGCCCAAGCTGGGACCCCATGCTGTTTGATGTAACATTGCTGATAATGAACAGCAGTGAATATCACTGAGCTGGAGAGTGATGACCTTGAACCATGTTGTCCACAGGGCACGAAGGCAGAGCAGGTATGGCTGCCATGATTACAAGACCAGGCTGCATGTTTGATGGGAAGAAACTTTTTGAGCATGTGGTGAGGGACATACCAGCTTATGCTCGTCCACTCTTCATAAGGCATCAGGTAATGAGCAGAGATACGCTGACACTGCATCGTGATTTTGTTAATGAGCATTCTTCATAATGAGGACTGTAAATTAATTCAGGACGGTACCATGGAACCAAAGGGCTTACTGTGACAACACTGATCTCAGGTTGGGAAATGTGTAATTGCACAACAGTACAATAAACTCATATAAATGTGGAACTATTACTGTTAAATTCAAATATACTTTGTTTGCCTAGCAAGTTTGAAAAAATAAACCACACTATTTATTCCCACACATAAAAACAGTCTAAAAGATAAGGTCACTCAAAAAACTAAATGGCATTATTATCTCCTCACCTTCATTCCTAGTGGCCCACTGGGAAGTGAAAAGGCATGACACAGGAGTCGGTTGCAGTCTTTGAAGAAAAAAAAAAAAGTAGCTGCAAGAAAATACCGTTAACGTTTCTTTATTTTGCTCTCTTTTATGATAACTCTCTTTTATTATAACACTCTTTCTGAGCTATTCCACTGTGTCGTAATGTGTGTGGACATGTAACTAGACTTTGGCCTGGCTGTAGCTCAGGTAGGAGAGGTCTCCCAGGACTAGAAAGTATGAGGATTTGATTCTCATTGACTCTTTTGCTGGGTTCAGACTACGTGATATCAGCCTGATTGTAGCCCAATGCGACTTCGTACTGTGTTGGCTTGGATTTTGAACGACAATGAGTGTCATACGCGATAATCCATCGTTTTATCTCAGACGACAACCAACGCCACATCTGGGATTCCTCACGATGTCCCGACAGAAAGTCTAGCATGTTTGATTTTCTTTTTGTCTTCCACGACTTCTCCTGTCACATCCATCACTTTGACCAATAGAAACACAGACTGATCTGCTGCCACAGATGATGCAACAACACCTCAGACTTTTTGATATTTCCTCTAGTGACTACCACACAGAGTAAAAAGGACAAAATGATGACATGAAATACCAGAGGCACAACCCAGTGAGTACTGCCATTAGAGGCACCATCGAGAGCGTCTTGACCAGCTGCATCACAGTTTGGTACGGCGCCTGCATAGGATCCAGCCGCAAGACCTTCCAGCGCATCATGAGAACAGCTGAAAAGATCATCGGTGCCTCTCTCCACCCCTCCAAGACATTTACATCACCTGCCTCACCCACAAAGCCCTCTGCATTGCTGGTGACTCCACTCACCCATCACACACCCTGTTCAGCCTTCTGCCATCGGGGAGGAGACTACTGAGCCTCCAGGCCAGGACCAGCAGACTGAGGGACAGCTTCATACACCAAGCTGTCAGGACACTCAACTCCCTCCCTGCTCTGCCCCCCCGCCTCCTGCTGCCCCCCGCACACACAAGTTCCTGACCCCCCCAATACACAGGACCCCCCCTCAATTCTCAGAACACTGTAAGCACACCACCACTTTAGCCAGAATGAATAAGCTACTTCTGTCTCTGCACTACTGTTACATTTCTTTTTGCACTTTTCTTTTATTGTCACACCAAAGACTCTGTTGGGATTCACAGGACCACAGATGATTTGTCATTTGATAAAATCTAAACTGGACATGTAAAGGCTTTCTTCTCTGCATGCTCTTTGTTCTCCAAACAAAGACAGCTATTTGAGACCCATCTCCCGTCTCACGTCTCACCTCAGTGAGACTCAAGTCTCAAAACTTGATTGGACAGGACTTTTACAGTGACATGTGACTGTGTGATGTCACAGGCATCTGTAGAAGGTCTGCTCCCTTCAAACAATTTTCCCTCTTACTCTGGAGCTGCTGAACAGCTCACATCTCTTCTCTGCTGTGCCTGGAACAGCTCAGAGGCCTAGACCCTTGCTCCATTGCCCCAAACCACTAAAGGGAGGGCAATTGATCATAGACTCTCTTGCAAGCACAAGGTTTGCAACTACCTTTCCAGCAACAAAGAGAACCAAGTGAGTTAGCACCCAGCGTCTAACTCTGCTAAACCCTGAGCGACCAGCTTTCAATTTTGGAACCAAGGACACAACAAAGACTGCACCTGGAACCACAGCTCTTTCCCGCCTTCTTCTGCCGGCTAACAAAGCAGCACACCACCAGGTGACTCTTTCTTCCATCCACTCAAGGATCGGTAAAGTAACAACTGGGCATAGCTTCATCGCAGCTTTACAGCCCCCCCGGGAATGGTGCCCCACGAGGTGATTTAATGTTAATTAAGTCACATTATTTAACATAATAATTAATTTCAATTGTCCATATGTCCAGTGCATATGTGCTATTGACAAATACAATTGACTTGACCTGACTTGACTTGATTAGCATCAAACTAGCAAAGAATGTTAATTCTTCATAATGTAGAAGGATAAAGGAATAAAATTCACAAACAGTGGCGGGGCTTTTGCTTACCATAGCTGCAGAGGGTACCAGCTTTATTTGAAACAGACTACATTAGAAACAGGTCTTTATTTCCAGACACAGGTCTCTCTTTCTACCTCTGTATTTTTCTATTTTTTGTTTTTAATCCACTCTTATTTGTCCTGGTAAATTTAATGCATCGTACCGTCATTTCAAACTCAACACGTCCTGTATCCATTTATTTCCAAAAAGGCTTTTATTGTGAAAGATTTGTAGGAACTTGTTTTAGAGGATTCAGTGACTTGTATAGTTTGCATGTGGTACTTCAAATGTAGCTCCTCCCATCTGGTGGCACTTTTTGCATTACCACAATAACTTTTAGGCTAGGACATGAACAGCTACAGTGACTTAATATATTAGTATTAATAATAAATATAGAACAAGTCACTGCAAGATTTTATGACTCCACAATTGCCTAATCTGACATAGTGACTGTTGGAACAGACAAAAATGTTGTGTTGTGCAGTCTGAACCCAGCATTACACAGGTCAGCATGGTGGTGCAGTGGTTAGCACTGGCCGACTGGGGCCCTTCTGCATGGAGCTTGCATGTTCTCTCCATGTCAGAGTGGCTTTTCTCTGAGTTGGCCGGCTTCTTTGGTGAGCGTGAATGGCTGTCTGTCTCTATGTGTCAGCCCTGTGATAGTCTGGCGATCTGTCAAGGGTGTACCCTGCCTCTCGCCCAGTGTCAGCTGGGATGGCTTGTGCCCTTAACAGAATAATCGATTGGATCGTTATCGTTATTGATAATGAATGAATCGATGATTCTTGCACACTGATCCCCAAATTGCCTCCAATGAATCAGTGTGCAGGGTTGGAACAACTAGTCAGATAATCTACTTAAAAAGGGTTCTGTGGTGAGATTATATGAATCTTCTGGACTTAGTTCTTAACATGGAGGTGGCTGAGCCAGCAGCTAGCAGCTGAAGGTGTTAACTGCATAAACAGTGCAAAACAGTGGCAGCAGTGCTAACAGAACTGATGGTGTTAACCAGGGGGAAACAGGAGGGTGGGCGCTACCTTTCCACAATGCAGCTACCCTGATAACAGCAGTAACCGCTATATGACCCTAAGGGCAAAGTGGCAGCAATGAGCTAGCCATCTGGGATACACACAGCAACTAACTAGTATGCTTGCTCTATGGGCCTAACACTGTGGAAGATCCAGGTAATTTTACAACCAGGAAATCAAACTTTTTTGGCTTTATGCACCACTGAGCAACTTGCAAAATGAATCTTAATCTGCGAAGTAGCTTAAGCTGTCAGATACATGTGGTGGACTCAGAACAATTTCCCTCTGAATTGTTGTATAGTAAAGCTATTAAGTAGATTAAAATTAAAATACAAATATTAGTACAAATTTTGGGTACTTAATTATTACTTAATTAAGTAAATATACATAAATATATTTTAAATGTATTCTTAAAGATATTTTAATTATGCCTCTGCGCCAACAACAGCTGTGGCTTGAGGCATTTTGTTTTCGGATTGTCCATCCATCTGTCCCATTCTGATAAAAGCAGTATTCATGAATGCCAATAAGGAATTTGTAAAAAAATTGACACAGACGTTCACTTAGACTCAATAATGAACTGGTTAGATTTGGAGGTCAAAGGTCAAGGTCAGTGTGACCTTGCACCCCACTCATTCTTGTGATCACAATATCTCAAAAACACTTTCAGGGAATTTCTTCAAATTTTACACAAACATCCACTTGGACTGAAGAATAAACTATTTAGAATTTGGCAGTCGCAGGTCAGAGTAACCTCACAAAACTTTTTTTTGGCCATAACTCAAGAATTCTTATGCTATTTACGAGAAAACCTTACACAAATGTCGAATAGTATGCTGTATAATGATGAAGTGATGACGTTTTATATCCAAAGGGTCAACTTCACCATGACATCATAATGTTCTACATAAAACACTTTTGTGGCCTTTATTCAATGTCATATCTGAGGAGCAAAAGGGGTAATATTTGGTCAGATACTGCATTGGTGACTCTAATCTTGGGTACCCACCTTGAAACTGTGCTGATTGTATCGATCTTATGTGTTGTTGGGGGACAGATGGGTGTGAAGCATCCATATTTTCACTGACATGGATGGAAACTGTAAGAGAAACTTGACTGGAGTGAGGAGGCATACAACAACAGGGTGGTAATTCTAGTTCATCCTTTTTCTTAGCCAGGAAGGTCCCATTGAGGTACAAGATTTCTTCCTCCAGCGAAGTGGCAAAATCAGCATAATCAGTTTCAAAAACTATGTAGAATAGTAAAACACATACAATATATAAAAAAAAGCGACAAGTTAACAGTTATCAGCCATATGAGTTGTTATTCGTTGGCATGTTGGATATAGGCAAAAAATTCAATATTGTGCATTCCTAATAATTTTCTTTTCTTTTTTTTGTTCTTTTTGAGCTCAGCATTGTTCTTCTTAAGGAACAAAAAAATACTACTTTTAATTGGTAGAAAAACTGTCCTCACATTTACCTTTTTCCTAATCAGTGTTGCTTAAAATGTATAAATCTTTAACACATTTTTTTTCTGTACATGACATCAGTGTGCCTTTTTAAAGCAAAATACAAATAAAATTTGGTGGAGAATAATATTAGATTCACAACCACACCATACAAATAAGGGCAAGGCTATCAAGGTTAGGGATAGGAAGATTTATAAGTACAACATGGACACACTTGTGATGGGTAGTAAAAGAGGGAAGTTCATTAGGCAAACACATTGGTCAAATCCAAAGTATGAAGGAGCTGTTCCCTCTCTCAAGTTGAGTGTTAGTATGCTGTAGCAGGAGAGCCTTGTGTCTTTAATGTGTTACGTTTAACTGGCATTTGTTATTTAACTAATTAGAAACATACAGTTCATGTTCAATTCAAATCAGTTTTTCATTCTCTATATACAACAGCATACAGTGAATGAAATGTCGTTACTTATGAATCCAGGTGCAGTTCTGGATGATTATTATATTATTTCAATGAAATTTAACTTGGCTCCTTCAGTTAATAGTTACTGGCTTAATCTCACTGGTTATTAAAAATAAAACTGGATCAGTCATTAAGGTGGCATGACATTTATTTTAGCTACAGTCACTGCTCTAGACAAGGTGAAGGAAAAAGTTATTCTACTGTTGATGTCTACAGCTGCAACTACTGATTATTTGCATTAATCATTTATTAAATCATCAGTTATTTTCTCAGTCAATTAAACTCCCAGAATCCAGTGTTTCCAACCAAAGTCTATCATTTAAAAATATTTTCAAACAATTGACCAATTATTAGAATTGTTGCTGATTAATGTTTTGCTGATCAACTTATTATTTCAGCTCTATTGTAGTCAGTGTATGCCCAACAGAAAGGCCTGTTTTACCAGCAGGCTCCAATGGCATGCACAATTGTGAGCTAGTCAGCAATAATAGATCACCTAAAGTAGCTAATGTAGATATTGTATTACTGTAGTTTCCAACTAAAGAACCAACACTAAACTCACTAAATTCCTTGTGAAACCTGCTGATAGTCTAAAATCACACTGATTGTTTTTTCCCTCAGGAGGTCATGGAAATGACGAGCACCTTCAAGCAGCAGAAGTTTCACCTGGTACAGAGCGGCTTCAACCCCTCAACAATCTCTGATCTTCTATATGTGTTGGACTACCAGCTGAAGAGCTACATTCCTTTAACAGACAGTATCTACCAGAGCATCCTCTCTGGAGAACGCAAGCTATAGACCTCCAAAGAATGGATGTGATGATGATACAGTTTGAAACAATGCACAAAGCAGAGTAGAAATAAACACGGCTTATCGAAGCACGTTATATTCAGTGGAATAATGACGATTTGCTATGGTCTAAATGAAAAGCCATTGTCTAGTTAGTGAATTATAGGATCACGAAGAGTTGATTGTATACATGTGAATGGTGATGTCCTGATGAGATTTCTTTGTTAAACAAAAGATCAAAGGAATGTGAATGTATCACCATGAAAAAACTACTTCTAAATTAACTTTATTTTACCCTCACATCAGCTGAAACAATGTGTTTGTCATGGTAATAAGGAAGCCCCTCTTTTGCCAATGCATTTGATAAAAACACTGCAAAACACCTAATTTAAAGGCCCTTAAAGGTCTACTGTATGGAATTTAGTGGCATCTAGCTGTGAGGCTTCCCATTCTCATTCTCAGGTCGTCAAATAACAATGCTTCACGCCCTATGGCCTCTTATAGCTACGCACAGGGCATTCTTTAGTGTCTCTATGTGATGCACGGCTGAAACACATTGTAACTTGGTTAAGTTTGTGAAACAGTCGCAGTTAGCTTTAGTCAACATACCTACTTAGTCAGGTTTAGAAAAAAGATCATGCTTTGATTTAAACTAGTCCAGTGCTCGTTCAAAACATGCCTGTTCAGAATGTGTTGAGTGCTTGGCCTGTGGTATCCCTGCTCGCAGCTTTCTCAAGAACCGCTCATCCAAACATCACACTTGACACTGCTTCTTTGAGCAATACACCTGGACCCATAGATTATTTTATGATGTTTAGGTATGGACATATAAAATTATGTTGCTATTTTAAGTCATTGTACCCCATAATAATGTAAAAAAAAAAAGCGCTGTGCGACTTACTATGTATTTGTATTTCTACTTCAGAGGAAAAATATTGTAGGTCTACAATTACATTTACCTGAGAGTGACATGCTATGTTTATCAGTTAAGATGTGATGCATTAATATTCATTCAACTATTCAGCATTTTATGAACTGAATACTCCACCTTAAACAGATATTAGTAAATTCAAGTACAATGTGCTGGTAATGCCTGTTTTCACTATTCAGTTTAAGTAAATATTTGAATGCAGGATTTTACTGTGTGGTATTTAGAGTTTATTCTTTTATATATACATATATATATACATATATATATATATATATATCATATATTGCATTCAAACAGATAGTGCACTCTAGCGCCTCACTGTTTCAAACGCATATTGCAACAACGGTAGCCGCTGCTTACCAAAAAGCTATGATAACATTGATGAAACCATAGATATCATATACAGTAGATACCTTCGGCTTCGGCCCGCTTCAGCGATGCGTCAACGTCGCCACCATCTTGGGGAGGTCACTGCCGGCTGGCTAGTACTGTTGTGTATGGGGATAAGTCTTCAGCAAACTTGCCGTGCTCACTCAAAAGTCTCAAAGTGTAACTGGGTGCCGGTCCAAAATATTACAGCAAAGCAGAAAAACCCGACAGCACTCACTAATAAGTATAATACTTTTTAATATAGTGGATTGCACAGCAGCAGTCAAATGGACATGTTTCAGCTCATAGCCATCCTCAACGTTAGGAAATGGCCACTTACTGACCCTCATGCCGACAAGAAGTTAAGTGTAGTTTTTAAAAAAAGGGTTTCCTCAAGCTCTGCCAACTTTGACATTCCCAGTTAGAGAAATTATGTAAAGAAAAGCAACATGACATTTGCCTGGGACTCCCAAATCACTAAATCTACCCCTGAAAAACACAGCCAAGTCCCAGCTCGTAGTTACAAACTTTCACACTTTACACTGGCAGAGTGGCACTTATCCCTTGCGCTCTCCTCTCGTACTTGTTTATCCCATAGGCTATCTGTTTGTGCCTGTTGACTCCAAGAAAGTGAAGAAGAGTTCGATTGTAACGTTAGCATATCCAGCATCTGAGCTGCAGTTGATGAGCCATGGCAAGTCAGTGGGTACCAGCTGCGGATGACATGCTGGTTGCTCTGCAGAACTTTACGTTTACTCTGGTCCGGGAACAAAGTGCTCTTTCCAAAAGCTACATTGCTGATGCTTGAAATGTTTGCTACGTGTAACATTTCTGGCCTCTTTGGTCATCTTTTTTTAAATGTACCGTATAGCCAGCAATAGAAGGTCCTTGCCAAACAATGCACATCATTGGGTCCCCAGCAATACACCCACCAAGTGTTATGTGACATATTTACATAAAGTGACTGATGTTAGTGCGCAATGACTATATGTAAATGACATAACGTTATGTCAAAACAATGGCAGGGGACATGAACTGTGGTCCCTAGGGTGAAAGTCTGGTTTTGTTTGAACCATCCACATCCCCTCCGTTCCGCCCTCCGCTCCGCCCTCTGCTGACTTTCTCACTCGTTTCTCGTCAGTTGCTGTCAGTGTCAAGTGTTAGTGCAGATGGTTTTACACTGGAGTAGTTGAAAGCCCGATGTGTCACATAAAGATGCTAAAGGGAACCTTTGGTGTCGATATCACACGCTGAGGGGCATTACAAAATGAGGGTATTTGATGACCTGAGAATAGGCCGGTTGATGTTGCAGTTGCTTACAACTGAAACTTCTCACAAGTGCCAAGGGTGCAGAACTATGGTGACTGACACGAAAATGTGAATGGTCAGTGTTTTATTTGTCTGTTCTGGGCTACTGTAGAACATGGCGATCTCCATAGACGATAACCCATTCCAAATGTTTCCAATTCCATTTATCTTTATTTGTTGTAGAGGGACAATGTAGATATATATACTGTATAAAAGGCTCATTCTAAGGGAACAAAAACATGTCATTTCTTATTTCAGGTGATTATGCATACTGAAAAACATAGTTATGGGTATTATATTCCATTTCTGCTATTATATCCCGAAATCCTACACACTGGACCTTTTAATAAATGAATTCAGTAGATTTTTTGACGGGTATATGACTTTCCCCTTAATGTATGTATACATTAATTAGAAATGTTTTTCCTATCCATTAATAACCTGTTTAGATTAGTTTATTTGTCCTATTAGGAAAATTTTCTTCACGCTTCCATACATCTTGAGTGCCAACCCGACATATACACATACCCCACAGACACAACATACATTTGCCACACACACATGGATTCTCAACATATAACATACAGTGTAACACAGACACATTTACACGTCACTGCGGTTTTTGAGTTTTGTTTAGTTCTGTGATGGCCTTGGGGACAAAGCTATTGTTGAATTAGATTTTTTTCCAGGGGAGTGTCCTGTACCGGTGTCCAGAAGGAAGCAGTGTGAAATGTGGGTTGAGGGTGGTGACTGAGGTCTTCTGCATGGTCTGAGCTCTGCGTGCAGTGGCTGTGTTGTTAAGGTCTGAGAGACTGGGAGTGGGGAGGCCGATGATCTTGGCAGCTTTGTGTGTGATCTGTGTGAGTCTGTTATTGTTGGGGGCTGACAGCATGTAGAAGAAGCAGGGTGAGCAGTAGAGGAGGATGGGATGGATAATGCTTTTGTAGAGTAGCAGCAGGAGGTGGGGGGCAACTGAGAGTGATCTGAGTCTTCGGATGGCGGAGAGTCTCTGTTGACAGTTTATGGATGTCAGTGGTGTGTTGTTCAAAGCTCAGTTTATTGTCCAGGGTGATACCAAGATATTTGTGACTGTGTGTTTAAGGTGTTATTAAAGTTTGGGGAAATCTATGGGGTTGTATCTGCATGGATTAGGAGGGTAAGTTGTCTATTAACAGTTAAAATCCAATTAAAGTGCCTTGATTACAGAGGTACTAAAGGATGAAATGAAGGAATTTGATGGTACAAAATTTCATGCCAATGTGACAGAGCAATGGACTCTGGCAAGAGAAGGAAAGGAAGCATGTGCTTAACCGTGAAGAACGACTGGTGTGACGAGGGGAATGGTGGATCACTGCTATATGCTGTTCAGAGGGGGCTGCAGAGCGTTGCTGCCCATGTTTGGGAGGAGCAAACATGCAGCCATCTTGTTGAGGTCAGGATTTGTGGACAGTTAAATCACTCCACAACCAGAAACCATGGATTACCAGAACCATCCAGAAACATGGACAATTATAAAGCAGCAGCCAAAAATGTAAGAGGACGCCAAAAAAAAAAGGGATTAAACAGTGCACAAGTTTAAGGAGCTGATGGATTCATATTTCGCTGGAGTTATACCTTGTGTAATCCCATGTGACAAATAAATGATTCATTGATAAAGCATATGAAAATGGAGATTCACAAATGCGATTTATAACTGACGACCAAAATAAATGACTCACAGATATGATTAAAAGAAATTGTGCCTGATATAATAGATAATGATCAGTCTGGTTTTATACCAGGTAGATTACTGTCAGATAACATCAGACAGACACTAAATATAATAGACTATGCACAGAATAATGACACCAATTTTCTACATTTAACATTAGATGCAGAGAAAGCTTTTGATTTAGTTTCATGGCCGTTTATGTTTGAGATTTCAAATAGTTTTGGTTTTCATGAAAAAAATTTCAAGGAATGTATAAAAATCCATTTTCTAGAGTAAAGGTAAATGGCACACTGTCTAGAAGGTTCTCAATCCATAAAGGGACAAGACAAGAGGATCCCCTGTCACCAATTATATTTGCTACATGCTTAGAGGCACTCACAGAAAGTATAAGGAAAAATAATAACATCAAAGGTATAAATATAAAGGAACAACAACATAAATTGGCATTATATGCAGATGATGTGATCTTTTACTTAACTTCCCCAGATCAATCGTTACCAAACTTGATGGAAACAATCTTAGAATACAGTAAATACTCAGGATATAAACTACATGAAAATAAAAGTGAAGTATTAACATTTGGAAAAGATATATCACCAGAACTTAAAGAGAAATACAAATTGAAATGGCATTCAAAGAAAATTAAATATTTGGGAATATACCTTACTGGAGACATAAAAACTCTGTATATAGACAACTACAAAGCTTTAGAAAACAAGTTGAAAGGAGACCTCAATAGATGGAAATCAATACCAGAGTCAATACTGAATAGAATAGACATCGTGAAAATGATGGTCCTTCCACAATTTTTTTTATTTCAAACCATACCAATAACCATCCCATGTAGTACCTTTA